CATCATTTTTAAATGGAAGAAACACATCACAACTGATATCATGGAGATTGATTTTTGATACATTGCACATTTGCACACACATATATATATATATATATGCCCGTGTCAGGCTTGATCGGACAAATTCACCAGGGCTGCATTATATTTACTTGATTTAAGCTCGACGGCCGGCGGCCTCGATCCATCTCTAATGGCTTCTTCTCCCTTCCTTTTAATTACTGCTTTGTTTTTCTTCCTGCGTGCTGCCGTTCCGGCCAACTCCTCCCCACCTTCCCGTCCTTTCTTCCAACGCATCTACCAATTCGGGGATTCCCTCTCCGACACCGGTAACTTAATGCGTCTTCCTGGCGGTAACATGTTCTTCCCAGCCGACCACCTCCCGTACGGAGAAACCTACTTCCGTAAAGCCACCGGTCGATTCTCAAACGGCCGCCTGATCGTGGACTTCATCGCTGAGCATCTTCGACTCCCATTCGTTGAGCCTTACTTGAACAAAAATGCAACATTCGATCATGGCGTCAATTTCGCCGTTGCCAGAGCTTCGGCTTGCGAGGAGGAGTTTTTCACGGAGAAAAACATCACCTCCGCCACCAAATTCAAACCGCCCATTGGCAAGCAGTTGGAGTGGTTCGAGGAGTACCTGAACACCACTTACGGAAGTAACAGAACATCGACTGAACGTTCGGGAAGCTTCGAGAAATCGCTCTTCATTTTCGGGGAATTCGGCGGGAATGACTATTTCAAATTCTTAGGTGAAAGAAGGTCCACCGAGGAGGTTAAAACTTACGTGCCGTACGTCGTTGCTGCAATTATTAGAGGAATCAATCGGATTGTCGAGCTTGGGGCGAAGCGGATCCTGGTCCCGGGCACATTTCCGTTCGGATGCTTAGCGAAACAGCTGGCAGCAGTCGGCAACGTTTCCAGCGCCGCCGCCTACGACAAATTAGGTTGCCTGGAATCATTAAACGGCGTTAGTTCCACACACAACCGCATCCTGAGTCGCGCCATCTCTTTGCTCCGTCGACAAGTAGCACACGAGGGCGTGGTGATCGCTTATGCGGATTATGAAACCGCGTACCAAAAAATTCTTCAAAATCCGTCGATCCATGGATTTGATAAGGGCGAGATTCTGAAAGCTTGCTGTGGAGCCCGAGGGGAGGGTGGTAATATTAATGAGTATCATTTCGAGGATGCAAAACCTTGCGGAACCAACGGCACTGACGTGTGCTCCAACCCTACCCGCGCCCTGCAATGGGACGGCGTTCATCTCACCGATTCAGCTTACGGTCACATTGCTTATCTTGTAAGTGCTCCAGCCGTCAATCGCTTGTCTCCGGCCGGGGCAAATTAAGGACCATAAAATATCCACTTTTATGCATTTTATAAAAATAATCCCTATGGGACATCAATGTATACTTACTTCAACAAATTATTTGAGTGCCTTCCCGAATGAATTTTTAGCTGAAATTTGGTATGGATAAACTAGACTTCATGAAGAACATGTTCAAAATATTTCATCAAAAATTTCCACCGGGCAATTTCCTAGCTCATTAGTCTAGCCAAGCTAAGCTTAACTAATTTCTAAGAGGAAAACAAAGTCTATTTACGAGCCTCGTTCTACGGTAAACAAACACATCACAACTGACATCATTTTTATTCTCCAAAAAAACATCACAACTGATATCATGGAGATTGATTTTTGATACATTGCACATTTGCATCTATATATATATATATCGATCCATGGATTTGATACATTGCACATTTGCACCTATAAATCGATCCATGGATTTGATAAGGGCGAGATTCTGAAAGCTTGCTGTGGAGCCCGAGGGGAGGGTGGTAATATTAATGAGTATCATTTCGAGGATGCAAAACCTTGCGGAACCAACGGCACTGACGTGTGCTCCAACCCTACCCGCGCCCTGCAATGGGACGGCGTTCATCTCACCGATTCAGCTTACGGTCACATTACTTATCTTGTAAGTGCTCCAGCGGTCAATCGCTTGGTCTCCGGGCCAAATTAAGGACCATAAAATATCCACTTTTTGTAAAAATAATCCCTATGGGACATCAATGTATACTACAATAACCTCACTTAGTTAAGTGTTTCACAACAAAGAATTAGAAACTAAGGCGTGACTTTTTCTATTTCAATAATTTGAAATATAATAAAGAATATATATATATATATATATAGATTTTGGTTCAGGTGAGAAATGCATCTAATGTGAGAAATGAGAATGAATCTCAGCCATTGGATTTACGAAGTTGCACTAAAATTGGCTTTATGTTGCAGTAATATTTAAATTTTGCACATGTTGCACTAAAACTGTTTCATGTTGCACTAATATTTGACGGCGTTGCACCGAAATAGCTTCATGTTGCACTAGACACGTGTAATACGGATTTTTCAGATGTATTTACAGAAATACCACCGTGCTAGATTGCATATTTCAGTGCGTCATGAAGTGTCTTTTACTGCAACTTAGTCGAATCCAATGGCTGAGATTCATTCTCATTTCTCACCCAAAGGGTTCTTCTCACTTGAACCTTACCTATATATAGTATATATATGTATATATATATATATATATATATATATATATATATATATATATATATATATATATATATATATATATATATATATATTACCCCGGAAGGTCAACCACCAAAATCAGTGGGGCAAATGCCGGAGAACATTTGCGAGTATTTTATTAATAAGATTGTGAAACAGAGTGAGGGGGACTAAGCCTGACCTCAGTAAGGGCATACACTTATAGCAACAAGAAAACAACACAAAATGATTAGACTAGCTAAAATATAAGGAACAACAACACAAAATGATTAGACTAGCTAAAAATATAAGGAACAGACAATGCATCCAGCCTAATAATATAAGCATTAATAATATTATATTGGATTTCCATCTTATTTCTACTGTATTAACTTTATTTTTAATTATTTTCCTTTTTTTTGGCTTATTAAAGTTTTTGACGCTTTTTAATACTTTGGGGGTGTTTTGAACAACTCTAACAAGTTCGGGGACTTATTTGAACGTTTCATTTCCATGTCATCGGTTTACTGGGTGAAGTGGCAGGTGACCAAAGCGTGAATCGTAAAAACGAAATTTGAACCATTTTTGCCGGTTTAGGGATTTAATTATGCAAATACGACAAATACATGCATTGACCCATTTTTCACTTATCTTGTTGGGATGTCCTAAACACTTCTTCTTACTTCCCCTTTTTCGAACGTTTTGTGTGCGGAATATTTATTTACCTTTTTCTTGAAACCAAATTTGTTCACCCTCTCAAATTAAAAGAGTGTGATGTTCACCCCGACCTAATTGTCTGCCATATGGCAAGGCAATTCTGTACGAAAATTGTCCTAAATAGGACTAATGAGTTCCTAAAAAGCACAAATAGGACTACTACTTTTTAAATTCCCTAAATAGGACTAAACATTGATTTCTACCCTAAATACCCCTAAGAGTATTAATTCATAATGAAATGCTTTAATTCATAATAAAATCATAAAAAAACGTACTCCCTCCGTCCCTAATAAAACTTCCAAAACGGCTGGGCACACAGTTTAAGATAGTGGGTATTGTGTGGTGGAGAGTTGTGCAGAGGAGAGAGAAATGTGTAAAATTGTTGTGAACCAAAAATTCTTTGCCAAAAAGGGAAAGTGGAAGTTTTAATTGGGACGGACGAAAAGGGAAAGATGAAAGTTTATTTAGGGACGGAGGAAGTACAAAATATTTAAAAACGTAAAAAATATAAAAAATTTAAAATATATATATATAAAACAAAAAATTTAATTTTGAATTTTTTTATTTTTTTAAAAAATAATTAAAAATAGTAAAAATCCATAAAAAATGAAAAAAATTATGGATACCTTTCCCGCCGCCTCCAAGCACCACCACCTCCGGTTGGTGAAATTTCTTCCACTTTTGGTAAAAAAAATGCTATCTTTTTCTTAAAATGCCAAAAAGATGGCATAATTACTTTTCAATATGCCAACATTTTCATTGAATATGCCATCATTATGGCATTATTTAAAATGTTGGCATATTTTTCTTCGGTGATGGGAGCTGGTGGTGCTGGGGGTGGCAGGGGTGGCAATGTTTTTAATATGGATGACATTTATGTTTATACAATTTTTATACTCCGTATTCAAGTTCTTATGCGTGCTCAAATTCACATTCATAATAAATTAATATGATTTTGGGTAATATGATTTTGGGAAGTGCTTATGCAACTTCACCCAATAGAGTCAGAACAAATTTTTAAATGATCTTATCCTAACAATTCGTTAATAGTTGAGGAGATGATTTTGAATGTTTCAAATGATCCTTGTTTTATTCAAATGATCCTTTTATGATTATTGAATATTACAAATTTTATTCTCATTACTCCATGGATGAGACTCCTAATTAAAATCAAATGATTTTTTTAGGTACAACGGAAGTAATTAAAATCAAATGAATGAAATACTTGAAGCTGACCCGGCGAGAAGGTTCGTTTTTTGTTTTGAGGTGTTGACAATCGGTGCCCTTCTCCCCTCTTCAATTTGCGGGGATAAGTATTTACTTGGACTTCGGTTTGTGTAAATGGTGGATCATTTACACAAACCTTATGGTCTCCGTCTCTGATCCGCTGGCATCCGACGTCGCCACCTCTATCGCCGCCTCTGCCGGCCTCCAGCTTGCCGCCCAGTTATATTCTTCTTCTTCTCGTTTTTTTCAGATCTGAGGTGAAAGGAGCGGCCGGAGTTACGAAGGTGGTGAATGGCGGCTAGGGTTGCGATGGTGGCGATGGGCTGGAGCAGAGATTTGTTGGCTGGGGCATCTATCTCATCAACATCTATTTTGAATGTAGTGATGCAGTGATGCATCTATCTCATCAACATACTATCATACTTCTATTTTGTATTCAAGTTAATATTCTCAATAAATTTACTCTAAATCTCTAACTATTACAAACACTTCATTAAACTATATGTGAAATCTGGAGTGGGATCTATAACTAATTTGGAATATTTTGACTTCTACTTTTTCTAAAGTAACTCTTATTTTCAAACATCCATACCATAACTCTTGTATCAATCCTTTTCAATAATAGACTCTTTAGCAACAATAGCAACACGTGAAATACCGTACTGCGGCCGTGTCTAGGGTTTCTCCTATACATTAGATGCACCACCGTACTCATTTGTTGATATACTGAGCCACAAGAAAAAAGAAAACCCAGGTCATTAAATATATAAATATTAATTATTACTCATAGTAGTTAAATTCATTTCATATGCTTTATTAACTACATAACGCGTTAACAAATAATCCTGTGACAATTTTCAATTATTAGATTTCTTCAACTGGAATACGGTTGTGGTCCGATATTGTGATGGCTCATCATTCACATCGGATTCAGACAGAACTTATGAGTCCAATGTATGTATGGTTCATATTATTTACTAGTACTACATATTATTAATTTATTTAATCCGTATTTAATTATTTATAATTATTACATTAGCCCGTGACTAAATTTCAATTTCTTGTAGTGTGTAATTAAATGACCCATTTAAACAAAATTGTAATTTTTTTAAATGTACGTAGGGCACCAAGCTCTATTTCAAGGGAGCGCGGATTTACAAGGCGGTGATGCAAGAGGTGCTTCACAAGCTGGGGATGGAAATGGCGGAAAATGTAAGCATTTGAATATTTAGTGTAAATAAACTAATGAAGCTTCGTAAAAAGAGTAATTATTTAATTAGCTTTACGTCATGTTCCTACTTCCTAGTAAAATGCTCGTAATATATATACTCCACTGTGTAAGCCTACAACAAATTGAAAGTAACTTAATTATACTTTTTTTTAACCCGGAAGGTCAACCACCAAAATCAGTGGGGTAAATGCTGGGGAACATTTACCGAATTTTATTAGATGAAATGATAGTTAAAACAAAAGCAAAACGAAACCGAATGAGGGAAATAAAACAGCAAAACAAATACACAAGCTAATATCTAATACTATCCTTCGTCTCTTTTTAATCGCAACATGTTGAATTTTACACTATTCACATGTTCTACTTTGACTACATTTTATATTATTATTTTATGAAAATTAATTTTTAAAAAGAATATTGTTCAATTCATCTCATTACTAATTTTCAAAATCTAAATTTTAAATATTTTTTACTAATAGAGATTAATATATAATTACGGTCAAAGACGTGCGTTGGCAAGTGTGAAATGTTGACCGTTGCAACTAAAAAAGAACGGAGGAAGTAGATGGTAGCTCAAAGAAATCCATCCAAAAAGCCCGTCTAGCCATAATAGGAAGCCCGCCTGAACTTAAGAAAGTCTGGAAATCTTCAAAATGGGCCTCTGCCAAATAATGAGCAGTCCAATTCCTTTCCCTCAGAGCATGTCCAAATGTGACCTGTTTCTTAAAAGCAAAAGGCGTGGTTTCCAGAATGATGCTTCTCCATCTGCTATTCTTCTTGTCCGCTACATAATCCAGGGCTAACGAGGAGTCAGTCTCAACTTCAAACTCTGCATATCCACTATCCAGCATCCATCTAGTAGCAAACAAAACAGATTTCAGCTCGGCCTCCAGAGGTGAATCAGCGTGAATGGTAAAACTGATTGCGATTATCATTTCACCGTCCCTGTTTCTCAATATGGCACCTCTGGCAACCTGTCCAGGTGAGTATCGTGCATCCACATTGAGTTTTTTGTCCTTGAATGGCTTTTTCCACTTAATGATCTGAAGTACTGGCCTCTTTATGCTAAAACTTTTTGGGATCAATTGTTCTTCAAATAGAATTCCTCCAATAGATCTAATCTTCACTGTAGACAGGCTTTGAACCCATGCGTGAGCGCGGCTTTTAATTTGAATGATAATCTGAGCCGAAGTAGGAATTGATGCACCCTCTCCCCAGATCAGATTAGTGTATGACTTCCAAATTTGCCAACAGATTAGACCAAAGATATTTTGTCTAAACACACCTAATAAGCTGTCCACTCTTCCTGTCCAACCCAGTCTCAAAGAATTAATCCCCAAGTCAGCCGGGTAGTAAATACCCAAAATTCCAAAGAAATATTGCCATACATGTTTAATTTGGGAGCACTGAAAAAATAAATGGGCCATAGAATCAATGTTCTTTCTACATAGGGGACAAATACAAGGATTGAGAACCTTCCTGAACCTACCTAATGCATCTGTGGTTGGCAGGATCCCTTTAACAATCTTCCAAAGAAAAATCTTAAGTTTGAGCTCCAGTTTATTATCCCAAATGTACTGGTGTATGTGAGAGCTGAAACCAAGATTCCTTACTTCATCAAAAGCAGATTTTAAAGAAAACTGACCATCATTTTCTTCATTCCAGGTGACATTTCCAGTGGCATCAGTTGACACCAGACTCAAACCTTGATCATGAGCATGACAAATTCTTCTCCAGATGTTAGAATCTGTGACTTTGGGTAACATGTTCTCTTCCCTATCATATTTAGCTCTTATGAAATGAGACCAGTATGAATCCCATGCTTTCCATTTCCACCAGAGTTTAAGAGTGAAAGCCTTCTCAATATCTGATAGAGACCTTATCCCCAACCCCCCTCCAATGTAGGAAGACAGAGTTTAGACCAATTTATCCAATGATACTTATTTTGAACATTAGATGAACCCCAGAAAAAGGAGGTCATCTTGCTGTTTAGAACCTTTATAACTTTCTTAGGCAAAGTATCTACAGCCAAAGTATGTAAAGGGATAGCATTAAGAACATGTTTTATGAGAATAAGCCTACCTCCTTGTGATAAATTTTTTTGTTTCCAAGGGAGTAAGCTTATTTTCAAACTGCTTGATGATGTTTCCACAATAATGGAATCTGTTAATACCTTTATGTAAATTTACCCCAAGATATTTGATTGGAAGATCAGAAAGTTTCATACCCAACAGATTTTTAATCTTGGACCTTCTGCCTGGACTAGTCTTACCACAAATAATAGAGCTTTTATCAAAGTTGACCTCTTGGCCAGATGCCTCTTGATAATCAGTTAGGAATTTTTTAAAATTTTAAAGAGATCTAGCCTCTCCATTTAGAAATATCAGAAGATCATTAGCAAAACCCAAATGTGTGGCAGGATTGCCATGAATACCCATCCAAAAAGGCTTTATTTTACCAGCACCAACCAGCCTGTTAATTCCTCTTGAGAAAGCCTCTGAGACAATAATAAACAAAAAAGGTGACAATGGAGCACCTTGTTTAACACCTCTTGTTGGCTTAAAGAAACCATGTGGAATCCCATTGATTAAGACTGATAAGTATGTGGACTTGAGGTTATTCATAACCAAGTGGACAAAAGTTGTAGAGAATCCAAATCTTAGAAGAATTTCTGATAAAAACTGCCATGAGACCTTATCAAAGGCCTTGGCCATGTCAAGCTTAATCACCACATTACTTCCTCTCACCTTTTTATCAATACAGTGAACCATTTCCTGAGCAATTAATATTTGGTCTGCAATATCCCTTTGAGCCATGAAACCTACCTGCTCTTTTGATATTTTAGAAGGAAGCACATGATCCAGTCTAGTTGCCACAACCTTTGTGCACACTTTACTGATGAAGTTGGATAAACAAATGGGCCTAAATTCACCAAAAGATCTAGGCCTGTCAGATTTAGGGATAAGAGTAATCCATGAGCTGGAAAGACCTTTAGGAATAGAGTGACCCATAAAGAAATCCTGAACAGCTCTGACCACATCCCTATCAATGATGGACCAGCAATGTTTATAAAACTTACCATGGAAACCGTCAGGTCCTGGAGCACTATTTTGGCCGAGGTCCCAAACCGCCTTTTTAACCTCATCCAAATCAGGTAGTTTGGTAAGCATAATATTAGCATCATGATCTATTAGATGTGGAATACATTGTAGTATGTTCTGACTGCTATTAACTTCCATTTCAGTGTATAACTTTGAGAAAAATTCCACAGCTGCCTCCCCAATTTGAGGAAGAGAATGCACCTCCTGACCTGTCTCATTATGAATAGAAGAGATAGATTGCTTTCTCTTTCTTATCTGCACATATGATTGGAAAAAGTGAGTATTGCTATCTCCATCTTTTAACCACCTGATGTTGGCCTTTTGCTTCCAATACCTCTTTTCTAATTTATACTTCTGAGTCAAAAGCCCCTTTTTGTAAAACCAGTTTTCCCTGTTTTCTTCACTGGGCTGATTTTCAAAGGCTATTTCTGCTTGTATAGCCTCATCTTCACATTTTTTGACCTCTTCAAAGATGTTCCCAAATACGAACTTGTTCCAATTCCTCAGTTCCTTTTTAAGAAATTGAAGTTTGGTGACAAAGCCATGCATACCTCCTCCTGTATGAACAGATTCCCATTTTTCTTTAACAAAAGCCATAAAAGATGGATGTTTAACCCACATATTTTGAAATTTAAAAGATTTCGGCCCTAGTACACACTGATTAGAGCAATGAACAAGAATTGGGTTGTGGTCGGAGGGGGTACTGTTCAGTAAAGAGACTTTAATAGTATCAAAAACATCCAACCACGATTTGTTGAATAAAACTCTGTCTAATCTTCTCCATACTCTCCCATTAGATCTGTTACCAGTCCAGGTATATTGGGGCCCTTCATATGGAAGGTCAATCAAATTACAAGAGGCAATGCAATCTGAAAACTCATTGATGCCCCTAATAAGAGGAAGAGATGTACCTTGATGCTCACTATATTTTGCTATTGCATTAAAATCCCCCCTATCATCCAAGGCCCTTTTATATTAGCCGAGATGCCTGTTAAAGCCTCCCAAAGTTCTCTTCTTACAATGTGAGTGTGTTTCCCATAAATACCTGTCACCCGGCCTGAAAAAGATCCGCCAGAAACTTTGAAATGGACCAATTGCTCCTCCCACAAGAAATCAGATAGAGTCAGATGAGTAGAGTCCCAAAAAAGCCATACTTTGTTAATATCAGAGAAAATAGCCGAGTCAAACCCCAACATATTTTTGTAAATGTCAATCTTTCCACTGTTAACCATGGGCTCTATAAGAACCAATAGTTGAAACCTCCATTGCTTGACTAGGGAACTTAGCCTGGAACTGGAGGATTCCAGGCCCCTAGTGTTCCAAAATAGGCAAATCATTGGGAGACATTGGAATTCCCCCTAGCCACACTCCTTGTATTCCTTTTGGTTTGAACATCTTCTGATAACTTCTTTTTTGTTGCCTTTCTGTTCACTTGTATGTATTCTCCCTCTATGTTGCCCTTATTAAAAGCATCCTGTCGCTTTTCTAAAGGCTCTTCAAACTGAGTTTCTTGTTTATTCCCATTTGAGTCTGACCCAATGTCTGCTTTCTCCTTGTTGTAATACCCGAGATTAATATAAGAGGATTAATAGTACTACTCATACCAACAGAGGTGCATCTCCTTTTAAGGGAGCTCATCACCCAAGAACTCCAAAGTTAAGCGTGCTTGCACGGGAGTAGTCTCGGGATGGGTGACCCCCTGGGAAGTTTCTCAGGGCGCGCATGAGTGAGGACAAAGTGCGCGGTAAAGGCTTGTGGTGGTTTGTGGGGACAGTACTATTGGTCCGGAGTAACTACCTCGGGTCCGGTGGGGTCGGGGTGTTACAGGTGGTATCAGAGCAACCCTGCGACAGTGTGCTGATCCGTTGGATATCGGGCAGACACCTAGCAGGGGAAAAGTTTCTGGGATTTGATTGAGATTGGTTTAAGGGCGCAACGCGGACGTTGCGATCCTAAGTGGGGGTGATTGTAATACCCGAGATTAATATAAGAGGATTAATAGTACTACTCATACCAACAGAGGTGCATCTCCTTTTAAGGGAGCTCATCACCCAAGAACTCCAAAGTTAAGCGTGCTTGCACGGGAGTAGTCTCGGGATGGGTGACCCCCTGGGAAGTTTCTCAGGGCGCGCATGAGTGAGGACAAAGTGCGCGGTAAAGGCTTGTGGTGGTTTGTGGGGACAGTACTATTGGTCCGGAGTAACTACCTCGGGTCCGGTGGGGACAGTACTATTGGTCCTTCTGAATGATTATATTGTCAATCTTAGCACAAATATCATTCCAGGAATCCAAAAAAGAGTTTGGGTTTACTTTCTTATCATGTTCACCTTCTGAAAGGTAGCCTCTATCCACTATCATTGGATCAGAGAAAATAGCATAGTCCAGTTCCAAAATATTGGTATCATCTTTACTACCCTGTGTATTTTTATTTGCAGGTGATATGGGAGAGGTTGGAGCTGGTGCTAGAAGCAACGGGACTGAGTTGCAGCAAGGGGGAGGGGTGAGCTTTGAGATGGAAGGGTAGCTCAGAGTCAGGGGTAGGTTATCGGACAGAGCAATGTCTGGGGAAATGTGAGGGGTGAAAGCTGTAATTTGTTTGGAAGTGGAAGGGGGTCGGGTTGGTTGAAATCTAAATTATCAACTGCAACAATTACTTGTTTTGTAGTGTCTGTATGGCTGGAGTTTGTCCCAGTGACAACAATAGGGGTGTTGTCTTTATTACCAACTTCTGCATTATTGATCTTTGCATGGTTGTTATAACAGGAATGGCCCACCTTGGAGCATTTTTTACAGAAGGGGGGTAGTTTTTCGTAGTAAATTTCCTGAGTAAATCCGTCATCACCTGCTTGAATCCATAGTGAGCTAGGATAATGCTTCATAAGATCTAGTTCAATGAGGATCCGAGCAATAGAAGGCCTTGCAAGAGAGGCAGTAGCTTGGTCTAGTTTCAGAGGTGTACCAATATAGTTGGCAATTTCAAAAGTGCACTTATGTCCATGAGATGTAAAGGGAGGCCACGAAGAGTGATCCAAATTGGGACAATAGATGATTCCACATTAGGCTTATAGTTAACTGTCCATTTATTGACAGTCATAGAGCAGCCATATAATATCCAGGATCTACGGGTCCAAAGTCGAATATAATCATCCTCATTAGACAAACGAATAAGAATATTATTAGTATCCAGGGGAGTTACCTGTACTGCAGCTTTGAAAGACAGTTTTTGAACCCAGAAGTTGTTAATAGACATAACAACTTGCACATATGCGTAACAAGATGGATCGGAGTAGTTATTCAATATATATATAAGTAAAACACATAAACAAATAGTAAAACATTACCGGCTCTGGGATCATTGCGGACAACAGTGGCATTGACATAGTAATCATTACCACCTAAAAATACGAAAATGATCATTGTTAATTAACACGAAATTAACAGTGAGAAACTAAGCACTAGTAAGTATATATATTAATCAAGCCACACACCTAAAATTCCACAATTAATTATATACGTGAGAAAGATAAAAGAAAAATGTATAATTGGCTTGGCAGCATAAATAATTATATAAAGTTACCATTGCATGCATTTGATGAAGAGAAAGCAGAAATTAAAAACAACAACGATCCTAATATTGCAATGAGAGACATCTTCAACCCACACACTTTTCGGAAGAAATTAGAACGTAACTCACTACCTAGCTAGAGATTTGTTTGGTTTCGAAGGAAATTAGAAATGACTGGAGATTCGTTTGGTTTGAGGCCGGGTTTAAGTAGGTGAGCTAGCTGAAGGAATGATATATAGGTGGAGGTTACAAGCAAGGTTAGGGAGTATGGCAGCTAATACATGTAGACGCATGAATTTATGAAGTATGGAGCTGAGCTTAGGATATCTATGCATGTCATTGTCATGGAAGTGTTGAGTGGAATTGAATACAAAGTGGTTGAATTGGTAGTTTTAAATTTCAATTCAATGTTGCTAAAAATTACTAACGGCATACAGACATAACAACTTGCACATACAGGTAACTCCGTACAAGTATTCCAGTCAAACAAACTTAAAAAAAAAGTGAACCCAAAAGTAGTGTTATGTCCATCTATTAACAACTTGCACATATGCGTAACAAGATGGATCGGAGTAGTTATTCAATATATATATATATATATATATATATATATATATATGTATATATATATATATAGAAAAGATCCTGTCCAGACGTCCGGACAGGAGCCGCCGTCCGGCCGGCGGCGTTTGGCCGCCTTCCCGGTGGAATTTTTTGATGAAATTTTTATGGCATGTTCTCCATCAAGTCTAGTTTATCCACAAAAAAATTCAGCCAAAAACTCAATCGGGAAGGTCGTCAAATGATTTTTGCAAGTTAACTGGTCCGGAATATGTATTTTCCGGACCAGTTAACTTGCAAAAATCATTTGACGACCTTCCCGATTGAGTTTTTGGCTGAATTTTTTTGTGGATAAACTAGACTTGATGGAGAACATGCCATAAAAATTTCATCAAAAAATTCCACCGGGAAGGCGGCCAAACGCCGCCGGCCGGACGGCGGCTCCTGTCCGGACGTCTGGACAGGAGCATTCCTCTATATATATATATATATATATATAAGTAAAACACATAAACAAATAGTAAAACATTACCGGCTCCGGGATCATTGCGGACAACAGTGGCATTGACATAGTAATCATTACCACCTAAACACTACTATTTGTTTATGTGTTTTACTTATATATATATATATATATATATATATATATATATATATATATATATATATATATTGAATAACTACTCCGATCCATCTTGTTACGCATATGTGCAAGTTGTTAATAGATGGACATAACACTACTTTTATGGACAATTCCTTACTACATTGCAATATGGAGTGTGCAATATATATATATATATATATATATATATATATATATATATATATATATATATATATATATATTAGTTAAACACATAACACTACTATTAGTTATTCAATATATATATATATATATATATATATATATATATATATATATATATATATATATATATAAAACACATAAACAAATAGTAAAACATTACCGGCTCCGGGATCATTGCGGACAACAGTGGCATTGACATAGTAATCATTACCACCTAAACATACGAAAATGATCATTGTTAATTAACACGAAATTAACAGTGAGAAACTAAGCACTAGTAAGTATATATATTAATCAAGCCACGCACCTAAAATTCCACAATTAATTATATACGTGAGAAAGATAAAAGAAAAAGGTATAATTGGCCTTGGCAGCATAAATAATTATATAAAGTTACCATTGCATGCATTTGATGATCGGAGTGTGCAGAAATTAAAAACAACAACGATCCAAATATTGCAATGAGAGACATCTTCAACCCACTCACTTTTCGGAAGAAATTAGAACGTAACTCACTACCTAGCTAGAGATTTGTTTGGTTTCGAAGGAAATTAGAAATGACTGGAGATTCGTTTGGTTTGAGGCCGGGTTTAAGTAGGTGAGCTAGCTAAAGGAATGATATTGCATGACAAGATGGACATAACACTACTTTACCATTGCATGCATTTGATGATCGGAGTGTGCAGAAATTAAAAACAACAACGATCCAAATATTGCAATGAGAGACATCTTCAACCCACTACTCTCGACTGTTGTTTTGGGCCAAGCTTCGGGAACAGTTATATGGACATGTGTATTTATCGATCACATAAACACTTCTCCGATCAAAATACCAGTCTCCAAATAGCTTGGAAATTGTCTACAAAAATTCATAAAACAGATCACATCATTCATCAGTCATTGAAATGTAAATGCTAAAAAAACATAAAAAAATATAAATACATGACTTATAAGACGACGCTAAAGAAATTGAATAAATCTTTCATTAATTATAGTTAAGTCGATGGGATCCATGATGTTTATTAGTACTCGCTCCCTGTTTATTTGAATGCAACATATTCAATTTTTGAAATTTATTTAGTCATAACTTTACGTATCATTTTCCTAGTTTAATAAGTTTTTAATTACAAATACATAAATATTGTTTCTGCTTTACCTACATTTTCATCTTCAATTCTTTTTCATACTTCGTATATACTATCGTACTTCTTATCTGATCTTTCTCTAGCCAACTTGTATTAGACTATTAGTTTATGTAGTAAGGAATTGTGCATAAATTGTATAGAACAAATTAAATACCTCATTGCTCCCATATATCAACGACCATGTCCATATTCCATTGACTGTTGTTCATGAATTGTTGGGGAGGTGATCAATAACCCTCTTGGTAAGGTGCTATTTGCTTTAGGCAAAACGCTCAGGAATTCTAATCTAAGATCTGAAAGGAAAATAGTATACAAATAAACATCAATATACCCAAACACTATATTGACAAAAATTAAGTTTTTATTAATTGAGTGCAGTTTTAAGTTATTTATATACTTCTTTAAATGCTTGAAAAATAATAAGCTTATTATTGAAGAAATCTAAGTTTAATACGTAGTAGTTTATACTACTATACGTACATAACACAAATTAAAATGTCAAATATGACAAATCTTTGTTGACATGAAGGTGATCTTTTATTATTTTGGAAAAATTAGAAATACATACAATACCTTTAAAATAAAAACTAAAAACTTTTTTGTTAAAATTGAAGACTAGTGATAAAAATATGAACTGTTATTGAGAGCATATGAACTCATGAAAAAAGGAAATGCTACATCTTTTATTATGCATCCCGTAAGATGCTATATATAATACATGATACATCACAATGAATAATAGGAGAGAATAATGCATGGGCCATGCAAAGCATGCTACCCACGTATACATGTCTAAATGATAGGAAACATTACATATGATGTAAAATAATATTATGAATAGTGTAATACTCTTAATACTCCCCCTCAAGGTGGCGTGTGAAGGTCGCGAACACCCAACTTGCTCCGGAGAAATTGAAAACGGTCGGTGCCAAGTGCCTTAGTGAAAATATCAGCAATCTGGTGCGTTGTAGAGATGCAACATGGTTGGATTTCACCGCTACTAACACGCTCGCGAACAAAGTAACAGTCCATTTCTACATGTTTAGTGCGTTCATGAAAGACGGGATTAAGTGCAATATGTCGTGCCGCTTGGTTATCACAGAAGAGAGGTGTAGGGCAAGTTTGAGAAACCGTTAGGTCTCTAAGTAGCCATCGTAGCCACAAAATCTCACTAACTGTAACAGCCATGGCACGGTACTCCGCTTCAGCGGAAGAACGAGAAACAACAGACTGTTTCTTTGTTCTCCAAGAAATTGGGGAACTGCCGAGAGTGATAAAATATCCAGTACTTGAGCGACGGGTGTAAGAGCACCCTGCCCAGTCAGCATCACAATATCCCTTCAAAGAGTGATCATTGTCTGCTGACAGGAAAATTCCTTGTCCCGGAGTCTGTTTTAAGTAGCGCAGGACACGTATGGCAGCGTCAAAATGGGACTGGCGTGGCTGGCTGAGAAATTGGCTAAGCTGGCTGACGGAGAAGACAATGTCGGGGCGTGTGACGGTGAGATACAACAAGCGCCCAATTAAGCGTCGATATGCGGAAGCATCTATGAGTGGACTACCATCATCAGGACGAAGTTTTAAATTCTGTTCCATGGGAAATTGACTGGGTCGGGCGGCTAGGAGACCACTATCTTCTAGGATGTCGAGTGTATATTTACGTTGACTGAGCACAAATCCCTCGGGAGAACGAGCTACCTCGATTCCAAGAAAATACTTCAATGGACCCAAGTCTTTGATGCTAAATTGGTCATTCAAGTACCCTTTGATTCTGCCAATATGAGACACATCATTTCCGGCGAGGATAACATCATCGACATATATGAGGGCAAAAGTGTGATTTTCACCTTGCTGGAAAATGAACAAGGAATGGTCCGCCCGTGATTGACGAAATCCAACATTCAGAAGTGATTGAGTAAACTTGTGGTACCAATTACGTGAAGCTTGGCGTAAGCCATAAAGAGATTTTTGCAATTTGCAAACACGAGTGTCACCATTTTTAGTAAACCCTTGAGGCATACGCATGTAAACGTCTTCAGAGAGATCTCCGTGGAGAAAAGCATTGTTGACATCTAATTGATGCACCTCCCAATTACGTTTGGCCGCAACGGCTAACAAACATCGTACTGTTACGAGTTTAGCGACTGGGGCAAAAGTCTCATGAAAATCAATTCCTTCGACTTGTGTGAAACCTTTGGCTACCAATCTTGCCTTGTAGCGTTCCACATCACCATTAGGTTTATATTTTATTTTATACACCCATTTAGAGTCTACTGCTTTCTTTCCCGGCGGTAGCTGAACCAAGGTCCAAGTACCATTTTCTTCTAAAGCATGAATCTCCTTTTGCATAGCCTCCTGCCACTTTGGATCTAAAATGGCCTGTGAAAATCGTTTTGGCTCATCACGTGAAGTGATGGCTGCCAGAAATGCTTTATGTTTATCAGAAAACTTCTCATAAGTAATAAAATTAGAAATGGGATATATTGCTGAGGTGCCTTGATTTGTGATCTGTGAATAGTCCAAAGAGGGCGGTAGGTCAGTATCATATTCAGTGAGATGTTTAGGGAGTCTGCGAGCTCTAGTACCTCTCCTTATCTCATCTGTGGCTGAAATTTGCTCAATCATGTCGCATGGAGCCTTTCTTAAAGTTGGTTCCAGATTTTGCTCTCCATCTCTACCATTATTGGGTTGCCAAGGACTTTGCAACGGATGTGTATAATTTAAAGGATTTGTTCCATGTGTATTTGTGGATGGATGCTGACCGGTGGGTGAGAGTGGACAGAAGCCTGGCCCATCAATTACATCCTTGCTGTGTGCATTGTCTCTTAAACCAGGTTGACTCATAGTGTTGTCCGTATTTGGAGGGATTTGATTTTGGACGGGTGAGAGGAGGTGAGTACCTGGACCGCCATCTGCACCAACCTTGTCCCCCGCCTGTACTGCTCCGTGTCCCAGGCTCGCCATGTGACTTGCAGACTGGAGTGCAGGAGCTATTTGGAAGAAGGTGAGTTCCTGGATGTTGTTGGGGCCCGCACGTGTACTGCTCTTCGGGAGGATAGCCGCAGATGTCCTCCAGGCGACTCGATTGACGATGCAAGTTCTCAACTTGTGATGGACCGGTGCGGTGTCCTGCTGGTATGTACGTACTGCTCTGGCCCATGACCCTTTGACATACACGGTCAATTATATCCCCAAAATCAAGACCTTCTTGATTTATCATTTTAAAAGGGAATTCTTTTTCAATAAAAGTAACATCTCTTGAAGTGTAAATGTTCCCTTTCTGCAAATCGAAGACTTTGTACGCCTTTTGACCATGAGGATATCCAAGAAATATACAAGGACTCCCCCTTTCACTAAATTTATCTTTACGTTTGTTGTTGTGTGCGTATACCAAACACCCAAAAACGCGTTGATGTTCATAGTAAGGTTCTTTCCCAAATAACATTTCATAAGGGCTTTTATTTGAAATAATGGGTGATGGTAGTCGATTAATAATGTAAACGGCAGTAAGAATGCACTCCCCCCAAAAATCAATAGGTAATCCGGATTGAAAGCGAAGGGCCCTAGCAACTTCCAAGATATGTCTATGCTTACGCTCCACGACTCCATTTTGTTGGGGGGTATCTGTGCATGAAGTCTCCAAAATTATTCCGCATCGTGCATAATATTCAGATAAAAGATTGGTTTGAAATTCCATTCCATTATCTGAACGTATGCGTTTTACTCGCCTCTCAAATTGATTTTCCACCATATTACAAAAATGCATCAGATTTTGACATACTTCAGACTTGTTTTTCATAAGATAAACCCAAACACCCCTGGTAAAGTCATCAACGATGGACAAGAAATATCGTGCTCCTGAAGTCGAGTCACACCTATAACCTCCCCATATATCACAATGTATTAATTCAAAGCAACAAGTAGTCTTACTCGTACTTTTTGGGAATGGCAGTCGAGTTTGTTTAGCCCGTAAGCAGGGATCACAAAGGATATTTTTGTGTTGCAAGCCCTTGAGAAATGAAATATGTTGTAACTTTCCATTTGAAGCATGCCCCAAACGCCGGTGCCAT